CAACAAAAATTATTCATAAATAAAAAGAATTACATTGGTAATCCCGAACTTTTCCGTACCGTTGGCCTGCGTTGTCCGTAGCTACTTTTGGTTATTTTTTGTGAATTTTCTTGAAATAAAGGCTCACTGCCTTGATATATTGAAATATAATAATAAAAATAAAGTGAAAAATCGGTCACTTTAACTAAAACTTCGACAATTTTGTATGAGAGGTACCCGTAAACCGATTCTTATTGGCTTTAAACTTTCTGAGGTTTCATTTTTTGGAGAAAAAATAAGATTATGAAAGTTTCATGTTGATCGCATTTGCAGAAGTTTGGTTCTTGGCCCTCAATTTTTTCCAAGAAAATTTCGACAAAAATTGAGGACAAAAAATCAAACTTCTGCAAATGCGATCAACACGGTACCTTCCATACAAAATTGTCCGAAAATCGGTAATTTTAGTCAAAATTTCAAAAATTTTGTATGGGAGGTACCAGTAAATCGATTCCGATTGATTTCAAACTTTTAGAATCTTATTTTTCTCCCAAAAAATGAAATCCCAGAAAGTTTGAAGCCAATCGGAGTCGATTTACAGGTACCTCCTATACAAAAGTGTCTATTTTTTTAGGTTTTTCTTAGGGCTTAGTACCCCAGGATCAAATCGAAAATGGCTCATCTTCGAACTTAAACTAAGTTTTTAGGATACAAAACTTTTGGCATTTCCAGATTTTGATTACCTCAATTATTTTTTGAGTTATCGTGTTAACAAACAGCTACGACGACGACAACGACAACGACAACAACGACGTCACACGAACAGAAAAGTGTCTCAAAACGTTTTCTACGCGTTTCACGAGTTTTTATGATGATCTAAGCTAATTTTGCGAAAAAAGTTTTCGGGACCAATTCCTATACTTTCCCTTGACACGTTGTGTACGGAAAAGTGAAGAGCCCAAAATATTTATTTATTTGTGCGCGATGAAACAGCGAATTTTTTTCTTTCGATAAAGCTAAAATTTGCCAAAGTATTTACGGAAAAATGTTCAAACTTAATTTTGAGAAAAATCCAAAATCCTGATTTTTTAGAAGAATAATTGAAGTTTTCCATTGAAAATTAAACGAAACAACGCTAAAAACTTTGAAATAATCTCAAAAAATAATGATACAGAAATAGCGAAATATTTATTTATATATTTTTTGTTGCCCTGCACATACTCATGATGTCTTAATATGTCATCGATAGCCTGAAATAAATGTTTGTGTATCCCTTTTTGAAAAACGGCAAAAAAATCACATGAAATATATTATAAATATCAACCACAAGAGCTAATGAATTCATAATTAATCGAACACTTTGCCACCTGTATTATTTTGACATATCCATAAAAAGTTTTTATTAAAAACAGGTGACAAATTGGGCACTAGAGCAAAATACTCCTTTGGATATTTTCACATATTATTCTATTGATTCAAATTGGAACCAAATAGCCTACCGTACGACCATTTATAAACTCCCTTGACTGGATTTATGAAATCATCAATTGTATTGAAACAAAAATCATTTGAAATACATTCGCTCCGGAATAGAATTGAACAACACGGACACGAATCAATTAATCGTAGCACTCAAAATCGGTACCATTTTTTATAAGGTGTATCCACTCGTATTACGTTTGTGTTATGAGTCTTAAAATTCTTTCAGCGCCTCTCAATGTGAAAGTAATACAAGTGGAAGATGGCAAGTGTTGTGTTCTTTAGAACAAATAAAAACAGAAAATTACAATTGAATCGATATTAAACTTTTTGGTCATCCATATTTTGAAACAATTTGGAAGAATCACCGCCATATTTTCTCATCATTTGGGAACACATAAACAATTTATTACATGAAATCTTCAAACTTTAGGACCCACAGTGTAAAAAGCATCATCCAATTTTATTTGTGTGTAATAACCCATATGTGGGTTCAACCTGAGTTGACAAGTAACTAGAGTTAATATTGCATATGGGTCAAAATTTCCACAAAGGATCAGTAATTATTCAAAGCGTAATAATACCCACGTACTACTTCCCATTCATGTATGATTTATTTACGATGGATATATAGATATATTAATTGGTGGCTAACCAACGGTCACAACATTGTGTTCACATGTATGAAATTTCCCTTAAAAACAATCAGCTTGAAAAATAACATTGAAATGTGTTCATTTTGATATGTGTTCTTTCTTCGTAATGCCAAGATTAATGGTTTTGGAATATTAAACAGAGAGAGAGGGAGAGAGAGAGAGAGAGAGAGAGAGAGAGAAAGGGAGAATGACGGTTTGAGCTTATTCTTAGCGAAAAATAAATCAATATATGTGTGCTTTTGATTGCTGCGCGTCAGCTGATTTCAATAATTAATGAAGTGCGCTTATTAAGTTGAATGACGTAAAAAATTACCTTTGCTTGAAAAACGCGTTCTTCCCTCTTTGTCCACAACACGCAATTAACATGCATACTTTATTCCGTTATCAAGCGTTTTTTTCGTTCTGACCGGCACACACACGTTGTGTGCTCATGTGGAACAAATTAACGAATTGATACGCCATGTAAAAATATCAAATATCTGCATCCATACACACACAAACACAGAAAAACACACTAACATTGACAAATCTACACTCAATATCCAACGGTGAATATTGTGAGTGAAGACCGTAAAAGTTGTGGGAAACACGAGAACGTCAAGCCAAAATATAATCGCAATAAGAACAAGAATGAAGAAACGGTAATGAAACAGAAAAAAAAATCGGTAAATGTTTTCATATAGTATGTGTTGTTTTTGGGCACGTTCGTGTCGTATTTTCGGGGAATGACTTTGTTTTGACCCAAAAATAACCTCAATAATGACTATACATCGACTTCAAATTGAAGTATTTTTCGTTTGCATCTAAAAATAACACTCCACTTATAGGTATTAATTGATTATTTATCCATGAGAATGAGCTAGCCGACACACACGAAACATTCCGTTTCAGTTCATACGTTTTCACATTTCGCCGCCAATTCATCGGTTCGGAGCACTTGCAAATTTTCCGCTTTTCCATTTGAATTCAATTCCAACAAACACAATGGAATTCAATACACACGTATGGAAATGTGTTTGCAATATACATCTGCTTGGTTGAAAATCATTATTGAGTACTGATTCAGTAGGACTCGTTTTTGATGGGTTTCTCTGTTGGTCCACACTATCCACATGGGAAATCGATGCAAACCAAGACACAATTTCTTATCGCATATTTGATTGTGAGTTTCGTATGGGGGATACTACTGTGTCCAAAAAGTAAGGTGACATTGCATTTATTTTGAAAATTCTTTATTTATTCTTCCAAATCAATTTCATCGCCTTCAAAGTAATCCCCTCCCGATACAATGCACTTATGCCAACGGATTTTCCAATCTTCGAAACAGTTGAAAAAGTCGACTTCAGGGATGGCCCTCAGCTCCGTCTTCGCTGCGGCTTCAATCTGCTCTATCGTCTCAAAACGGTGTCCCCGGAGCGGTCTTTTGAGCTTGTTGAACAGCCAGAAGTCGCACGGTGCCAAATCAGGTGAATACGGTGGTTGTGGAACGATATGAGTCGAGTTTTTTGGCGAAATGTTCACGAAGAATGATCGCATTGTGAGACGATGCATTATCATGGTGCAAAAACCAAGAGTTGTCTTTCCACAATTCCGGCCTCTTTTGGCGGATAGCGTTACGCAAACGACGCATAACACTCAAATAATATTCCTTGTTGACTGTTTGACCCGGGGGAAGGAACTCATAATGCACAACACCCCGATAATCGAAGAAAACAGTCAACATGACCTTGATTTTTGAGCGACTTTGGCGCGGTTTTTTTGGTCTCGGCTCACCTTTGGCACGATATTCGCTCGATTGGTCGGTTGTTTCGGGGTCGTAAGCATAGATCCAAGTCTCGTCTCCAGTGATCATGCATTTCGTCTTGTCAATGTAGTCAGAAAGCATTGTTTCACACACGTCAACTCGACACCTTTTTTCCAAAAAATTCAATGATTTCGGTACCAGTCGAGATTTGACGCGTTTGAGGCCCAAAACATCCTTCAAAATGGTATTGACTGAGCCTTTCGATATGCCAATATCATCAGCAAGGTCTCTAATCGTTAATCGACGGTTTTCCAACACCAAATCTTTCATTTTTTGGACGTGAGCTTCGTCGGTTGAGGTTGATGGTCGCCCAGCACGCTCTTCGTCTTCGACACATTCACGGCCTGCTTGGAACTCACTATACCACTTGTAAACATTTTTTTTCGACATAGCCTCATCACCAAAGGCTTTCTGCACCATCCTCAACGAATCCGCAGCAGAAAATTGATTCCGCAAACAAAATTTAATGCAAATTCTCTGATCAACAAATTTCGACATCGCAAAAAACGAGAAATTCACTTTTAGCCAGAGTTTGACTTATCCGCCAGATATATGCTATGGCATAAAAAAAATATGCGCATATTTTTTGGTACATTTGATTTTGTGACTAACTTACCATGTAAATTCATGTGGATATCACGATTTTTTGTCCCAAATTCGTGGTATCCATATGAATTTACATGGTAAGTTAGTCACAAAATCAAATGTACCAAAAAATATGCGCATATATTTTTTATGCCATAGCATATATCTGGCGGATAAGTCAAACTCTGCTTTTAGCAGTCCACAAAACGAAGCGTATCTCAAACACTAATGAATATTTTGACGTGTAATTTGGCAGGGATGTCAAAGACAGTCCTACCAACCTAAAAATAAAAGGATTTTTTCAAATTCCCCAGCGCGCTAAATTTTAAATGCAATGTCACCTTACTTTTTGGACACAGTAGTACAACGCGAGATGTGTTTTTAATATTTTATGTTGTGTATCCGAACTGTTTCATATTGAATATGGATTTAATTTGTAATGTTTGCTCTCATCATCTTGATTTTGCCTTCTCAAACAACACACACACACATACACACAGAATGTCCGCCAGCGATGGATGGAATGGAGCGATTTGCATGCCCAACACCGGATCGACAGGGCCGATATCGATGTATAGACGATCATGTTTTGTGTGACGGCTTCATCGACTGTCCTGACGGCGAAGACGAGGAACGGCAGGCGTGCATGTTCTACAAAACGGTAAGTGATTTTCCCACAACATTCCAAAACTTTCGCTATTTGCTGTACGTACATGCTCGTGGTGTGAGTGTTCAATTTACATGTTCGATGAATTGATTTTGGTTGATTGAGCCTGCTCATATAAATTAGCAACCAAATGACGCACGAGAGAGAGAGAGAGAGAGAGAGAGAGAGAGAGAGAATGTAAAATGGCAAATTGTGTGTAGTACAACAATCCAATAAAATCAATCTTAAAGCCGAAACAAACATGAGTTTGTGTACCGATTTGTTTTTCCTCTGAATTGCGTTACGTGTTATTTTAACTATGCGTCAATATGTGCGTAACGGTATGCGTATGTTTTTTAAAATATGTATACATGTATATACTATATATACCCTTTTATATGGAATATCATTGTGGTTTTGGCGAACATGAAAAGGTATAATAACATATAATAATAATGTGAAAGAGCACTAAATGAAATTAAATGTAGTTGACAAAAATAAGAGAACAAAGCGGAACGGAACGGAACAAACCGAAACGCTGCTCGTTCACGCCACCACTGTAGATATGACGAGGGAGATATTTTTCCATAGCGAATATTTACTGTGATACGTATATATAGCTATTCATATCTAATGGAACAACAGAGGCTTGTTTAACGATGACGTAAATGCAAAATCGCTTAGTTTATTGCACATGGATAACACACGCAGTGTTCTTTGTGCTTCTCGCGATTGAGCGCGCTTTCGCACACAACCGGCAAACACAACTCCGAACGAAGAAAAACTTGTTTATCACATTCATAAATAATACCGAAGCAAAATATGAATGAACAAACTGATGGAAAATCGTTACTCTTCTTCTTTTCTTCGTTCTTGCTGATTACATATATTCCCATTGGTGGCTTAAATCCACACATGGATATGTTTTTGTTCAGCACTAACTATGCTGCTACCAGATTGGACCTTGTACAAATCGGTTCGGCTTTTGGATCGGATCTGTTTATATATTTAATTGATGTGCACACTTTTTTCCTGTAGCATTGTTTCTTTCAGCTAATTAAGACATTTGAGGAACAAACATCACAATAATCCCGCATTCAAGTACATTCATCGTGCTACTCATGTTTCACATGAAAACCCAAACAATAATGTAACATACCAACGTGTATTTTCACATAATGCGCATTTACATTCAATCATCAGGTTTGGAAGCTCCATTTTCAGCCGGTTTCAAGATATATACTTATTCCAATGCGTATATTTCGAAGCTTTTATAAAAAGAAACACACTCACGCATTTATTTTTCTTTTTCAAAGCGGTGAAACGTCTCACCGCTTCGATCGATTAATTCATTCGTTCATATCAAAATATCTGTATATTCATTATGAGTAAACAAAAATTAGCATTTGTTGCTGTGTTTTCATGTAGAAGTTCTGTTCAAATCACATTAAATCAGAAGAACAACATTTTTTCGAATTATTTATTCGTCGGCAATGAATATACTTTTAACAATAAGCAATCAAAAATAAAAACCTTCATACGTCTATGATAAAAGCAGCATATTTCTTCGTCAGATTCTGACTGATTTGCCCTTGGCCTTTTATAATATCATTTCGGTGTGCAGCTGTACAGGCATTTTATCCTAGGGGGTAAGAACACAAGCGCTTGAGACGAATCCGTACGAATATTTGTGAATTCGTGTGATTGTGTATACGAGACATTCGCAGCGCAGTGAGTGTACAACGAGCGCATGAATATATGCGAATCTATGTGAATCTCACAACTTGTTCCTAGCCCCTAGATTTCATCAATTTACGTTTTAACCACGATTCACGCTTCAAACACATTTTGTTCTATACTTTCAAAACCATTCGGTCATTTGAAGAGATCCAATTCTGAACAACGGATTCATTGCACGCAAATAGACCAATAAGAATGAATAAATAAACAATCGCTTCTTTTTTTAAATTTGACCTCAGACTCAGATCAAATTTAATAATAGAGCTAATTTGAAATGCAAGCACATTGAATGGACATGGAACAAATTTAAAATAACAAGAAGAGTAGTACAAAAACAATGTACTACGAACTATTTTACAAAAATTCCAAACAATGTGCTTGATTCACATTCAGTGCACCAAAATGTTTGTCATTTGCATTCTTGTGTATTAATTACTCATTGTGTATTAATTAGATTGTGTCCCACCTAAATTCATGATAAAATGCACGTACCATTTCGTTGAGTGAACAATGTTCACAGAACATAAAAAAAATACATAAAAATGTTGTTTCTCCTCATAAACTATGAATTTATTTATTTGCAGACAAAAGCACATTTGGACGTACTGGCAGATGCTTTACTAAGGTGGGCGAGGGGTCGTTAGCTAGAATCTAATATAAATTAGATACGTAAGTTCTATTAAAATAATTTGAATCAATATATAAAAGCAACAAACAGACAATGAAATGAAATAAAATAACAACCACAAGGAACTCAACTGAAAATAAAATCTAACTCAAAGAAAACAGAACAAAACCAAAAAAAAATGTTGTGGAATAAGAGCAACAGACAAAAAAAAATATTTAAAAAAGGAACAATGAATTTTAATTTGAATTGATCTCAGCGTGTAAAAATGAAGTAAAAATGGAGAATATAAACGATAGAACTTTAAAAAAAAAAAACAAAGAAGGGGCCCGAGTATTGCTGGGCAAATTAATGCGAATATCATTGATAAAGTAAAAGCTATAAAAGAATAACAAGGGAAAAAAACACACATACACAAATAAGGATATGAATAAATCATAAAGAAACAATAAAAAAAAGACGGGCGAATGTAAAACATAAAAAGTACTGACGCGAACGGGGATGCCTCAAATCCGAAACCGAAAATGAAGATATTGGACACAGGAACATATTTAGGACAGATACAAAAGAATTGAATGAATGAATTTTAATCCCAAGTTGATGTTATTTTCTAAAAAAAAAATATAGGGTATACTTCAAATGGTTTGAAATAAAGGAAAAAACGGATTAAATTAAGCGAGCATGTCAAGGAACAATGAAATAATGAAAACAGAAAAAGAACAATGAAAATTTACTCAAGATCGGCCTGAACATGGCCATTCACCCATTTACAGTACATTATATAAGGAATGAAGCTACGGAAAAACCAAAACCAAAAAAAGACACTGCTCACAATTACGTATTGGTGAATAAATTGCAGAAAAAAAACCTATAAACGTACTATCTACACCTCATACACGTACACACGTATACATACAGACACGCAAACACACACATACACAAACACATACACCAACACAATTATTTCAATCAATTTTGAGACAGGTTCGGCAAAGGAAACATGTCTGTAGTGAGTTGTCATCTATGCAATCCATGTGAAAGCGTAATTCAATGCATCGTGAAGGCAACTATTAAATATGGCAATTAACCATCATCCCAACGAATGTTGACAGTGACGACACACTTATTTCGCTTACATGAATGTGAAACAGAACATGAATTTTGACCATATTCACCAATTCCATAGCATTTCCAAACTTTTGGTTGTTCAAACTGGACCAAATCAATCGAAATGACTTTTATAGGTTTTACTCAAATTACTATTGGCCATTGATCCTTTTCTTTGCTGTTGCCACGTAATTGACAAAACAATCTTCAAATGACAACTCTGTGCTATTGATTTTTGCATATACAATGTTAGAGAGGAAAAAAATAGCCAATATTTTGTCAGTTAAGTCATTTAACCGTCCTGATTTAATCATTGGTTGGTTGTATTTACATTTTAAATCAATGAGTGACAAAACGAATAACATTTACATCGGTCGCGTAATTGTAGTGCAATGTATTCGATATAATTCACCAGGTTTCGTATCCAAATTCCAGGCTTCGATTTCAATTTATAAACAAACAAACAGTTAAACACGGAGTTAACAAAGTGTTAATTCGCTTCTCCATTTGTGCCGCGGTGTTATGTCAGCCGATTCGAAAAAGTGACTTTTGTCGTAGAAATGGGAATAATGCTTATTTGATGAAGCGAATACTAGCCTTTTGTGCTGCATCTTTAAGCAAATATCAGTCACACATCTTTCGAAGCGTCAACATTTTACCACGTCACACAACCAGAGGCATACACACTCACATACAAATTAGCTTGGAAACAGCTTGTTCGTTGGCAGCAGCACTCTACAAAATAAATATATGAACTCAATAGTCTTCCACAGTGGAAAGAAAAGAATTGCCATTCTGCGGTATTGTGTAATTTTTCTATTACATTCCATTTCGTCAATTAAATTGTATCGTTGAGAATAAAAATGTAATTAGCGGAAACCGCACGTTTATTTGCAAATAATTTTTGTGTCCCTGGTAGAAAGAAGATAGAAAACGGATATTTTAAAACATTTCAAGATCTTCAGATTTGCTTGAAACATTTGTCTCGTTTTTTTTTTCTATCAGAAACACATTAAATGATTGACATGTAAACGGGCAGTTTCGGCCAATCCCATTTTTATTCTCAACGACACAATACAATTCATCGTTCTCGATGCAATGAGTTTATCCACGCTAATCGTTTCAATCTGCTTAAATATTAAATGTTTTTTTTTTAATTGTTCAAAAATAAACTTCACTTTTTGTATTGTAAATGGACATAATGCTAATTGAATAAGTTCCATCAGTAGGAGAGTAAAAGTTTTATTAGCATAGATTGTTTGCATTTCTCAATCTCTCTCTCTCCCGCTGTCCCTTTTTCGAACCATTCAGTCTCTTTATATTTTGATTTTTGTTTTTACTTAACTCGATTGCTCTTTTATTTATTAATGAAATACCGCCTGTTGCAACACCGTTCTTGCCACGTGAATTTTGCGTTCATTGGCACTATTGAATATTTCATGTTTTTTTTATTTAAACTCTAAGCCACGCGGTTAAGCATTATCAGACCATGTATTTGACTTGCAAACGAACCGAACACAATATTCTTCATGTTGTTTGAAAATTAGCTAAAAAAAAACTGCCAGAGGGTTCTGAATAATATTTGTGTTTTATGCAAATATATTTGCAGCATTCAACAATCTGTATGGTACTTACCAGCAATTTACACCCGCTTATTTAGCGCACACCTAAAATCAAACAGGATTCCATGCCATGGATTCGTGCACATTTAAGCGTTTATTGTTCGTAGTACATGTGGTGCATTTAAAGAGATGGTTGCTTAAATGAACCGGATCGTATCTAAGAATGGCTACCAAAAGCGCTATTTGTTGCTTGTAACTCACACAATACTTTGACATGACATGATTGCTTGGGGGGCATCTTGTGTAATCATGTACACACATGCACACATTATTCCAAGCATAATCCCACGAAGAGATAAATGAACCTCTATAGAAAAGGTACCAAACAGAGCGTTGCGCTCAGGGGGTCATATAATGCTACAAAATGTTAGTTTTCACAGCGAAATCATATTATTATGGTAACAATTGCGACATACAAACTATCACAGCAAAAAAGAAGAAAGAAAAACACACTGAACCGAGCGTTTCATTCCGATAACGATTCAAATTACACTGGTCGTTTGATTCATGCCTTACGACGCGTCAAAAAAGCTCATTTCTGAGAAATTCTTCTTAAATGGAATCCATATAAATTTTCGCATTCCGTTTTCATCACAGCTCGTTTTGCACGATTACTACCACTATGCACACTGTGAGGATTTCGTTTTTTTTCTCATTGTAGAAACAGTCGGATATCATCCGATTAAATTTCAACTACTTTACGTATCCAAATACACTGATTTACATTATTTAATTCAAAGAAAAGACACCATAACAGCACAAAGATGAATTTCCTAATGAGGTTCAACATTGGCTGGCTACCATAAGTCATTTTTTTTTCTTCCAATCATTGAATGATAACAAATTGATGAATGGTATTATACATCAGAATCGCAACTTTTCCACGTAATCAATATGCCATCGAATATCAATGCCTCTCGAGCTTTTATAGCAGAAAAAACACTCATTGCTGTCAATCACAATAAATTATGAACCTGGCAGTGTCTTCACTCTCCTTCGTAGAATTTGGAAAGTGTGATGAGTACTCATCATTTATTCCAGAAATAAAGCGACTATTTTTGACCTCAATCATGGTTTTCTCCTCAATAAATTGATTGAAGTTAAGTAATGAAATGGGCTTTTATGTTGAATTCACAAAATACGCAATTTTTTTACATTTTATTTCCCTTCTGAAATGATGAAATTCTCCAAACAATACACTGTAGGATAAAAAAAGAATTTATTTTTTTTTCTGTCATACCCTAGGGGAAAAGTAATTCCAGCTTTGACCGTCAAAATTAACGCATATGAATATCCTGTCATTATAATTTTCATTTCATCCGGTTTTTAAAAAATGCATTTTTGTTTCGGATTTGTGATGGAAAACAAAATGAACTAAATAAGTTCAAAGAGAAAACATTTGCTCTTTGCATGCAAGAGTCCGGTGAAAGTCATTGTAAATCATAAAATAATCCAAGTATGTACTTGTTATTACTGGTCTATGACTCAAGTAAAGATTATGGTTTTCGAGTTTTTATTTCATTTTCCATGAACTCATGTTGATGATGAACCGTTTCTCTCTCGCATAAAAGTTTTGTTTCTTAACACTCCACTTTAAATGGACAGCCCACAAGTTTTCGCAATGAATGATTTCGAACGTCATTCTCTTTTCGAATATTTGAATCATTAATAACAAGCACTCTTTTCCTCTTTTGTACATTTGTTTAGTTTGAATGTAGCAAAAATGAACAAACATGCATCATATTCAGGATCGAATTTGTCAGGGTGTTCATAACTTTTTTATTTCTCTTCGCCAGTATTTCAACTTTTGTACATGCCTCCTTTTTATGTAATAAATAAACTTGCGTTAATTTATTCCTCCCCATCATCATCATCATCACATCATCACGAATGATATTTTACATTGTTATGAAAACATACCGTTTGATACATAACACCAATTATGGAATGAACCACATTAGTCTAGTGATAATCAGTTGCACAAAATACAGTTTTTCTTTCTTTGTATCTCGTTCAATCATTATAACATTTGCAAGTGATCATTGCCTACATTTCATTCATTCTCAACAAAAATCAAATGGAACCAATATGTTTTCGGTGATTTTGAATCTATAAAAAGCCCAAAATGTCTATGGACATTGGACACTCACTGAAAAGTGAATTAGTACGATTTACATACACCAATGGTAATTTATCAAATTACAACCATTACTATTGGCGAAAGTAGTAATATTGTATGTATTGTATGTGCTCTGCTGTGCAATATTACCATGGAAAACTCTCGGAAAAGCGCCACTATGGGAAATCGGAAAATCGGGAAAAATTCAGACCAGTCTCAATCGATCGGGCGGAAAATTTCATGTAGGGTAGCAACCCGAAGGGCGATTTTCAAGCCAAAAAACCATCTGGGTTGCTA